ATTATATATGTTATGGATCGGGCTGCACGCCGCAACAATACTTATATGGATCGGGCTGCACGCGCAACAATATAGTGTTTGTGCTGTAGGAGCCCCTCCGGAGTCTACACACCCTCAGTGAGTGCAGTCGACTAAATATATGGATCGGGCTGCACGCCACAGCGATGTACGGATCAGGCTGCACGCCGCAGTGGTTATTCTGATTTCTGNGGTTGAGAACCCAATGGTGAGGATATTATATATGTTATGGATCGGGCTGCACGCCGCAACAATACTTATATGGATCGGGCTGCACGCGCAACAATATAGTGTTTGTGCTGTAGGAGCCCCTCCGGAGTCTACACACCCTCAGTGAGTGCAGTCGACTAAATATATGGATCGGGCTGCACGCCACAGCGATGTACGGATCAGGCTGCACGCCGCAGTGGTTATTCTGATTTCTGTTATTATGAGAGATATATGGGTTGAGAGTTGAGAATGAGCACTAAGTGATGAGAGTGAGCCCGAGGAGCTGATACTGTTCTGAGTGATTGATACTGTGCCCGAGAGGTGGATTTCTACTTGTTATTTACCTGCTAAATTACCTGTTTTACCTGATTTAAAGAGATTTCACTTGACTTCTTCACTGATTTACTGCTTTACGTGATTTTTACTACTTTGATATAGAATTGCTTTGTGCCTTTATGTGTTTTCATGCTTTCAGCCATTATTTATAATTATTACTCACTGGGTTGTAGTACTCACATTACTCCCTGCACCGTGTGTGCAGATTCAGGCATTGCAGAGTCCGCTCCTGAGTGCTGATCTTCCCGTCCAGGCAGTGTTTCGGAGATCACGAGGTAGTTGTTGGCGTCTCCAGCCCCCGTGCCTCCCTTATCTTATCATTTCATGTTCTTAGAACTATTGTATCGGGTTTAGTGATTAGTAGACTGTATCAGGATTTTCTCTTAGTTGCTCATGGCTTGTGACACCCCGGTTTGGGCTGTATCGGGATGGCTTTTACTGTTGTTATCGTTAATTCCGCAAATTATGAATATTATATCATGCTTTAGAACTGCTTATGATATTTAACTGTTTAAAAGAGGTGTTCTGTTTTGGTCTGGCTGGCCTTGTCTTCACGAGAGGCGCCATCACGATCGGGTTCGGAAATTGGGTCGTGACAGTTGATTATACTTAAAATCCTGCTCATGCAGTTATGAACAATGTAAATTAAATCCCTGTGTCCTTGGCTTGTTTTGACTTTTGAGTAGTTTAATTTAACCCATCGAGAGGAAATTATAATATTTTCTAAAATCAACTTTTAGTTTAATGTACATTTCATTCGGAGGAAATATTATAACATGTAAGTTTAATAAGTAAAAACGTCAAATGAAAACAATTATAGAGAATTTGTTACTTGAACGTAATTTAATTTAAAACGCAAATTAGATCACTATCTACCTTCTTCATATTGTGGAATATAGTCTAATTATGTCAAGTTTCTTCAACTCTAGGTATTGCCTACAATTACGCAAAACCGTGCACACTTAACAATTTTTCCAATTAAAATTAACCACTTTTACATTTAGAGAAATATTTCAGTGTCATATATAACGATGACATGAACAAAATTATATAAATAGAATCATTTTTACCGTTTATCATAAAAAGGAATACACATTTAATGGTTACTTAACTTTGATTATTTTGCGATGATTACATAATAAAATTGGAGTATTTGAGAAACTCAACCATGAAATGCAAAGTAAAAGAACCCAATTGGGTGGGTCATTTTATGGTTTTTATTTTTATTTTTAGCCTGCACCACAAATTATTTACATTCGGTAGTCGAAAAAGTATATAAATAAATTTAATATTTTTGTATAAATTTATTTTAATAATAACTAGTTTAAAGGTATGTGCATAGCATATGCATCTTATTTAGAGACTTTATATGTAAAAAATAATAATTTAAAAATAAATGTGCAATATACGTGCATCTCACATCAATTGTTAAAAAAGTTATTTGCAAAGCATGATAAACTTATAAATGGATACATATTTTAAAAATATTTTTAAGGTATAAAATAGAAATTGAAGTGAGAAGAGTAAAAATGTCTCGTGAAACTCGCATTTCCCTTTCCATTTGCATACGGAGGTGGCATGTTACTATCATGGCCGGAAAGGCAGATGTCCCAGCGTAATCTCAATGACTTTTTGCATGTTTGACTAGCGGATATAATTTTATTGGCTGATTGTCCAAATATATTAAAAGCCATTTATCTTTTGAAGGCTATGACTACTGCTTAAGCTGCTTGCACTCTCAATTTCTCATCTTTAATGTAGTGAGAGGAGAGTTAGCTTAATTAGTTTCCCTAGTAATGATTTTCTTTGTCTTAAATATGAATGCTTGCAATCTCCAATTTCAATTATTTTTCTTTTGATGGTTGCTTGCAATAATAACTAGTTTAAATGTACGTGCATAACATATACATCTTATTTAGAGAATTTATATGTAAAAAATAATTTTAGATACAAAATGTGAAATATATGTGCATCCCACATCAATTGCTAAAAAGGTTATTTGTAAAACATGACGAACTTATAACGAGTTAATATGCAGAGGCGGACCCACAATTCGAAGGCACTGGGGAACCTTTATCTTAACATAGTCATGACACAATGCCAATTACTAGCTACAAAATTTGGCGGTCAACTCTCTTAATAAAAATAGGGAATGAGAGGTGGAAATGATGTGAAACTTGGAACTTCTCAAGGCAAAACGGTAAAGGATGTGGTTGGTGTCGCCATAATTATAGTCAATCCAAATGTCATCGGCAACACCACTTTTAAGTTGCTCATGTCCTTCCAGCAACTACTTTGGGTCATGATGAGGGATAAAAAATTAAAAGCTACATTAACTCATCCCCACAGCCGAGGTAGGAATCTATTCCGAAGGAACAAAGATAGGCTTTATGGATACACTATTTTTAGTATTTTTTTTCTTCCAGGGGCCCAAACTCCGCAAGTCCAGACATACTCAAGTTTGACATTATTGGCCCTGGAGTGAATATTCTTGTTGCATGGCCTCTCTCAATGGAGAAAATAAAAGGCACAGATTTAACATTTAACATCATCTCTAGTACCTCAATGTCTTATCCCTACAAAAGCGGCATTGCAACTTTGCTCAAAAGTGCACACCCAGATTGGTCACCAGCTGCAATTAAATTCGCAATTATGACTAGATCTGATCAATCCAACCTCAAGGGTCAGCCCATCCTTGATGAAAGAAAACATCCTGCTGATGTATTTGCCATTGGTGTTGGGCATATAAATGCATCAAAAGCAAGTAATCTAGGGCTTATTTATGATATTCACCTCATTAACTATATTCAATACTTGTGTGGCCTTGGATACAAAGAAAAAGAGATTGGGCTCAATGTGCATCAAAGTGTCAACTGCTCGTTAGTATCAAGCACATCTGAGGCGGAGCTGAACTATCCTTCTTTCTCCATTGTACTTGGAGCGGAGAATCAAACTATACATCAAGAGTTACAAATGTTGGTGATGCAAATTCCATTTATGTTGTTAGAATCACTCAAATTTTAGGAGTTCATACGGTGGTTGAGCCTATCAGGCTTGTCTTCACCAAGGTCAACCAACAAGCCACATATATGATATCTTTCACTCGAACGAGTGATATTTTCGGAGGTTTTGTTCAGGGGTCAATATCATGGATCTCAGAAAAATATGTTGTTAGAAGTCAAATCTCTATCAGCTTAAAACAAGGAATATTTGCCAACGAGTCACTAGAAGTTCATATCGGCTTTGTATTTCGTGCCACACTCTGCTTGATTTATTTCATTGTACTTTGAATTATCTTGGAATTGTGATAGTAGCTAGCCATAAATTCAAGGCATATTTTCTAATGCTTCTTATTATTCTGGAACCAATTTCATTGTCTGCCATGATTGTCATTGTCGCGCCCCCTTTTTTCCTCCGCGGAGGGGAGTTCGGGTTTCGACATTAGGGTGTAATTAATCATTTCCTTTTGGTAATTGGGTATTTGAAGAGTCTCCACCTAATAGTTATAAGGTATGTTAGGGCACCTATAAGGTTCAACTACAACTATGCTTGATAACTAGAGATAGGGTAAGGGCTTGAAATTATCCTAACGAGAAGATGTTGGGCACCTCTCAGGATCCACTAGTGTGGTTCTCGGCCAGACAGTTTTGTGAATTTATGCAATTAGCAAACAAACAAGTAAGACTCAAGTAATATGGGGTTTAAGTTTAAATACACAAGTGTTTGAAAACAATTATTGAAAGGAAGGTTTTAAAAAAAAGTTACAATCTAAGCGTACTTATAAAAAAAATAAAAGGGTATCCTAAGTTTGTTTGTAATATGGATCACATCAATACAATATCCAGTATGACACTCCTCGGAAGAGGGGATACACGTGGTATTAGCGGACCTATCATCATATCCATATCTACCGTTTCCCTCCCCATGAAGGTAATTAGAGCGATGATTGGTCTCGAATCTTATTGCATGCTGCTACTCGTCCCTTCATATCAGTCCCGGAGAAATTTTAGGACTTCTATTCATATAAGAAGGAGGTTCTAGGCAGACCCTCAGGTTTAAAAGTAAAAATGCTAAAGCGACATATAAAAACATATAAGACCGCAATTAGGGGGAAACATATAAGCAGATAGAAAGCTCAGTTATACCTCCACAAATAGTGCACTTAGACTGCATGACTTATACACAGTTAAGGTATGAATTTTAAAATCCTAAAGCAGGATATTTAAGTCAGAACCAAATTCATTATATAACTCAGAAAAGAAGTCCGAATCAGGCCTGCCTGCTGGTTATAGTAGTCTAGAATTAAACAGATGTAGTTTCAGTTTAAGTAATCACCTAAGGCTTCCCTAGGCGTAAGCAAGATTCAGTAATTATTCAGAATTGCTGAGACAATTTGGAGCTTATTATTACCTAAAACATATTGTTCTAGATGCAGAGATTATTACTAGTCATTCAAAAACTTCGCAATGTAAAACTAGTACCTTACTACCTTTTCACGAGTCAGTAATTAACTAGGCGTTTTTAAACAAAATGCAAACAGCATCCTAGAACATGTTTTCTAATATGCACATGCAGATGACAGAGTTCCAAAGACATGGTTGCTAAATGAAAGAATTGTAGAATTATTAAGGAACAACTTCATGAGTAGCATGTTTTTTTTTATTATTTATTCATCCTAGAAGCAGGATTTCTAAGTGATGGACATGAAGCATGGATTAATGAATGAGATGCGGAAGCAGAAAACATGAATCCTAAGAGCATGATTTCTAATGCATTGTATGAATCCTAAACATTATTTCTATTGCAAAATTTGGAATATAAATATAATAACATGTTTTCTACCCTTCAACAACTATATAGCATGAATATTTTCCCATCCCTTTTCACTAGCCAACCCCTTAACTGTTTACAAATTATTACAAACCATGTGGTTGAATTACATAAGAAAAATGCAAAAAAAATAAAATAAGTTACAACCATAAGAAGCTTGATCTTGACTTACTCTCTGAGTTATGTAATAAACCACTTCAAATGTCAATACTATTCCAAAGCCATTCTCATACCTGGGCATGTCAGAGTTCCCTAAGGACCTCAAGGGATCCCGGGCAGTGCTCACACCCAGATTGCATAACCAAGAGTAAGTGCAGTGTGGAAGAGCCAGCCATTATATGTCTAGGTTCAGAGGGAGCTCAAGGGTCCCAAAGCAAGGCTCACTCAAGAGGGGTAGAACCAAATGATCTAAGAATGCATATGAGAGTGTTGGACATAGACTCAAAGGAGTTGAGTTGGAAAATAGTTTTAGAAACAACATGTTTGAAATGAGTTTGTCAAACAACAGAAGAATTGCCTAATAAAATAGTTTTTAAAAGGGGAAGGGGGTAGGAACAACAACAACACACACAGAACCAGTTCAGAGAGAATTACATGCTTCAGCAGATACAGACAAGGAATGGGGGTTGGGGACATAGAAGACCCAAATCAGAAACACACAACTAGTCATGGATTAGGTACATTATAAACATGCTAGTTGAAGGACATAAATAGGAACAAGTAAATATGTTTATCACATTTAAAGAAGGCAGATGTTTAAGCATGCTGAGTAAAGCAGTAAACAAATAGTACAACTCAACAGCATGAGCCATTAAGTTAGAAAGAGACAGTGACTGACAACAAGGGAACACATAGGTTTGGGTTTCAGAATTTAAACTAGGAACATACCAGTTAAAGGAGAAAAGTGCAGAAAAAGTGAAGCAATCAGAGTTCCAAAGTCTAGCCTTGGCTTTCAGCCGGCTAGACAATGCAGTAGCACAAGTAGTAGTGAAAGAAAGAGAGTTTGAATGTGTAAGTGTGTGTTTTTGAACTCAGTTGTTCGTGTCTTGTTAAAGAAAGCATTAGGGTATTTATAACTTTTAAAACGAGTAGAAAAATAAGGTAACAAGTAAAGGTTTGACACAAATATGAAAGTAAAGGTTTCCCTTTAATCAAGGAATTACTACTCAATTGAAGGAGCAAAGTGCAAAAAAAAGTGAAGCAATCAGAGTTCCAAAGTCTTGTCTTGGCTTTCAGTCGGCTAGACAAGGCAGTAGCACAAGTAGTAGTGAAAGAAAGAGAGTTTGAATGTGTAAGTGTGCGTTTTTGAATTCAGTTGTTCGTGTCTTTTTAATGAAAGCATTAGTGTATTTATAGCTTTTAAAACGAGTAGAAAAATAAGGTAACAAGTAAAGGTTTGACACAAATATGGAAGTAATCACAGTCAGAATCAATTAATACAAGTATTCCCTTTAATCAAGGAATTACTGCTCAAACGGATACTTACATGGGTAATTAAGGAAAGAAAATCAATTTGAGAAAGATTGATTTTTGACAGTATAGGGGACAGTAAAAGTATAGAGTAAATAATTGAGTCTAAGTACAAAATATACTTAATTTTAAAAAAGGATTCAGCAGAGGTAAAATATCATAGCAAAGGAAGGGAATCAATCAATTTAAACAAAACGAGTGAAACCAGGGGTTTATAAGAAAATATTTGCAATCAGTCGTAACTTGAGGAAATCAAGATCAATCAAGATATAATCATGATTCTGCACATCGCCGTATAAATAGAGAAGAATGAACATGCAAGGCCAATCGTATTGACAAAAGAAACAACTAGATGCACACAAATATACATCAGTAACAGGAATAGGCTAGGGCTCAGTAGTAAAAGAACTTACTCGAAGCATTATAGTCAATAAAGTCAAGTAGTCACATAGAACCAAAAATAAAGGAGACAGTCTAACACATAGCAACAGGTAAAGGATATCTTTAAAAAACACTTAGTAACAAGTGAGGAAATTTCAAGAAACTAGGGTTTTAACAAAGCTGAGTTAAAAAGGTAGGAACTCAGAATCAGTCCAGTTAAACAAAGAAAAGGATCTAAACTCAAAGAACCCAGTCGGAACAAGTATACAAAATAAACGAATACAGTTCCGGGACCCCGAATAAAACCAATGATATTTAGGGTTTTCAACATGCTGAATCAGGTAGAAGAAAAGCATAAACAAATCGTTTTAACATAGTAAGATCATAAAACAACACTGAAAATTAGAGAAGAGATCTTTTAGAAGAGGTTGAGAAAAATCCTAATCGTTGAAAATGAAAAGTCGCTTTGAAAAATCGGAAAACCCTTAAGGAAAATACTTAAGAGGTTCATAACATACACAGATCTAAGACAGATCTAAAAGAAAATTGGAAAGCCTTTAAAGTTAGGGTTTCGGAGAATCCAGAAAAATGAGAAAGACTTCGAAAAGTTATCGATCTAGCAGGAAAAGCCATGTACCTGACTTGATCGGCCATGGATGACCGGGAAAAGACCATAGATAGAAGTTGAGCCAAGACTGGACTAGATCTCTTTGAGATCTGTCCATGAAATCACGGAAACAAACAACCAGGAGACATAAGAGATCGGTACACGTCTCAAATAGCCATGAGAGTCTATGGATTGGGTGAGAGTCAAAGGGGATAAGGGTTAATTTGGGTGACGGCGGCTAAGGTTGTCTTTAGGTTTCAGAGAGAGTTTGAGAGGAAGGAGATTCAAGGGCGGCGGGTTGGTGGAAATGAAGTAGGTTAAGGGGGTCGTTTAGGTTTATTTTAGGCAGGTGAAATGGTGGTCGTTGATCTGAATGATCAATGGCCTAGATTAAATAGGGTAGGTAGGGATCCGAGATTTGGTTGGGTTTAAATGGTTAGTGTCGGGTTTAAATCAAAATTGAGCTAGGGAATTGGGGATTCTTTTGGGCTAGATTTTAAAGCCAATTTTGGCTATAAGTTAAATAGCCACTTTTTCCCTTTTAATTTATAAAAAAATAGTAAATAACTTCTGAAAACTAATTTAAAAGGCTAAAATAATTTATAACACACAATTAACAATTTAAAAAATACATGATCCCATTTTATAAAAAATAAAACCTAATTAAACCTTAGAAATGGCTAATATTGCAATTATATGCAATTTAGCTTAAAAATACTAAATAAAATTGTAAAAA